CACATGCGGCTTTTTTATGGTTAAAGTGCAGCCTGCAAGCCCTTCCCCTGCCCCCCCCCATTCTCCACCCTACCAGACTGGGAGGGGGCTGCTCAGGACCTCTGCCTTGCAGTGAGGTGGTGGGGTAGGGGCTTCTGTCCAGTGGGGAGGGGGATCTCGGGGTTTCAGCCCTGCGGGGCACACCTGCTGGGGCTCAAGGCTTCAACAGGAGTGGGGCTGAAGTCCCTAACCCCAGCTCCCGACAGGTGTGCCCCCGCTCTCAGACATCTGAACATTGTCGTATGTGGCTCAGAGTGCCAGTAAGTTTGATCACCCTTGCTCTATTCCATGCAGACTCTCCTGACTGGGAGAAAAGGGGCGTATTTCAAAGCTTGAAGGAGATTCCACTACACCTCTACCCCGATATAACACGAATTCGGATATGACGCAGTAAAGCAGTGCTCCGGGGGGGGCGGGGCTGCACACTCCGGCGGATCAAAGCAAGTTCGATATAACGCAGTTTCACCTATAACGCGGTAAGATTTTTTGGCTCCCAAGGACAGCATTATATCGGGGTAGAGGTGTATTTGTCTATGGATTGGACATGCTTCGCCCATGGTTTTACAACCAATCACTGATAAAAAGCACTGCCCCAGTCAGAGTATAACCATCAGACTAGACCACTAGTCATTGACCCATCCAAGCTAATGAAGCCCAATCCTGTTAACTTTAAAAACCAGACATTCATAAACTAGTAAACTTTCTGCTGTCAAGCAACCGTTCATTCTCTCTCCTACTGTCATTTACTGTGACTCCTATAATTTATCTTCGAAAGCACTTAGCTATCTTTAATATGATCTGCATGTCTTATACCTAGTGACTTTAAAATGTGATCAGTTGTTATGCAGATGACAATTGGAGAAGATAGGGAAAATTATTGTAGCAGGATGGAGGCTGAGCAGTGTTTCCCTGAGTAAAACTAATAAGAGGATATATAAACTTAGATTCATAGATTCATAGATTCTAGGACTGGAAGGGACCTCGAGAGGTCATCGAGTCCAGTCCCCTGCCCGCATGGCAGGACCAAATACTGTCTAGACCATCCCTGATAGACATTATCTAACCTACTCTTAAATATCTCCAGAG